GACTCGGATAGTGACCGTCTCTCTCTTGTTCACAGGACCCTCTCAGCACCCACACAGACACTGGCCAACACACTAACCCCTGACTGAGCAACAGACGGACCTGTGCCACACCCACAGGTCACACAAGGCCTTGTATATGAAAAGTGCACACGGCCCCACTGGGTTCTGCGCCAGGCATACTTTTGTGCACTAGGCACTCTGAGCATCTCCTGAGCTAACTGAGTGTGATCCCAAGTAGGAGGTTATCCAAAGTTCAACAAACAACCTATGTAGGCAATGCATCTGCATGTATCAGCTGCTCCCAGAACCAGCCAAACAGGTGAGACTAATGTCATGCAGTGACAACACATAGGAGGGTCACGGGGATGCAAGTGCACCCCTTGAGGGCACTGGTGCACCTCCTGACAGCAGTCTTCTGAGGTAGGGGGGGCAGGTGAGAGCGCTGGTGCCCCCCCAAGAATGCTGGCCAGGGAGCGCAGGCACCGGGAGAAGGGGTCCCCCTGTGGTGGATCATGCTCACCCAGAAGTGCCAGCGGGACGCTGGGAAGTGCCAGGATCCCTCTTCACCCCCCCCCTCCCCCCGGCCACTGACTGTCCACTGGGGGGGGCAAGTGTCCCCCCTGACTTAGGCACCAGTCGCCCATGGTGCCATGGACTCGGACCCAACCTTGTCTCCAGCACCACAAAAGTGTGACCACTGCTGTGCTACAAAGAGTGTCCCAACTCTTACAAATAGTGTATGCAGATTATAAAGGAAGGGAAGCAAACCTGTTTTAGTAGCTGTCACCTTGTTATGTGGTGCTGTGATCCTTGGGATACAGGAACAAGAAGAGAATGTGAGTGAAAGCATTCATATCCCAAAATATGTCAGTCACTAAGCAAAGCAGAAGTGTACAATGTGGTTGTGTGCACATTTTGTGTGCACACTATTTTTTTTATCCTCTTGACCCAATTCTTCCCAGGACGTAGTCTTTTATATGAACTTTCACTTGCAAAGTAAATTAGACTCTTCAACCTACTAGATTTCTGAGGGAGTCACAGATTAGTTACAGGAGAGTCAGTAGGTCTGACTGACTTAAGTTTGTTTTTGATAATAGTCTCAGTATCTTCATGAAGGCATTTAGGTTGTCATGATGCATTAGAGTATAGTTCTCATGTATAAGGTGGAAACTTAGAGAATAGAACAGGACTAAAATACCAACTTTCAACATGGAAGGTTAATAGTGAAGTGCCCAAGGCTTCTCCATGATCATCTCCTTAATATATATGAACAATGCGAATAGAGCTATAGAAAAACTTAGATGGATCCATATAGGTAACAAAATTAAAGGATTTTTAAAGAACATCCAAAGATCCCAGTGGTAGTAAATGATAGAAACGTGTCTGGAAGAAATCAGTGCAAATGAGCCCAAGGTAACAAAGCTAGTTCAAATCGCTCCTACATTTTGATGGGCTCTAATTATAACTACATGTGAGGGAGAATTCTGGGCATCATTGAGCTATTGACAAATGTGAAACAGCAGTCAAAAATGTCAAGTTAGGTTGCATCACGGCGCTGCTACAAGCACCTTCATACTTTGTTATTAAAGCAGTAGTTCAGCCTTTTTATATATGGAAATAGTAGTATATCTCCCCCAGAATTTCAGCACTTACAGAGTCTAGAATGACCTTTTCAGCAAGTTATGAAATATGAGAATATGGGGAAATGGTTGCTATTTGGATTGGTGTTCCTACTCTCATGTTTTGCAGCTTATTCTGCATAAATGACACGGCTGATCCTTCTTATAAGGAAGTTTAAAGCCCCTTCAATTTAGTTGCTGGTCTGAGCTAAACTAACCTTTCTCCTCCTGAAAGGGCCTCTTGTTTGACTGTTCCACTGGACCCAGGGTGCATTCTGGGAACTGGTATACCAAACCACAGCTGCTTCAGTCAGAATTCCCATTTATTCACAACTGCATGAGGATCAAGTAAGGAAATAAGGAGTTGCATATAGAGTACATGGTTGCTTTTGAACTTGTTGCCACGTATGTTCCCACTGAAGGTACATATAAGACTCCTCTCCAAACTAGCAGTTGCAGAGACACTTTAAGGGAAATGTGAAAACATCTTTCATGTATGCATGCATGCTTGCAAATTTAAGGTAGAATATTTGCAGTGTGTTTGGATGCATGTTAACCTTTCAAGCTAAACTGCACAGATGTTTTTTGCAGTGGAAATGACTTAAACCCCCCCCCCCCCCCCC